GGCTAAACCGAAACTTCTCCGGCTAAATCTAGCCGGAAAGCGGCTAAAATGGCAACACTGGTCAAAACTCTTAATGTCGCTAGTGTGCAAACCTTTAATTATTGAATCATACATTTTACTCATGATTCAATTATTAAAGGTTTTGTAAGTAGCTTTTTTCTAAAATTTGGCACTCCCACCCACAGGGATGGTTTTTGGAAGCAGAAGAAAAAGGGGAAGAATTGAATCACACTTCCTAAACTGGGAGCTAAATTCCATAAAAAGGTGTGGATAATAGTGAATGGTGGTATTTTAAAACAAAAACGAATTTGATTTAATTATTTAATTTAAACAAGCTTATTTACATCAAATATAAGCCCCGATTGTTATTAAAAATAAATATTTCTATGTTTATACCAAACTTGTAGTTTTGCGGAAAATATGCAATATTTGTTAAACAAAAAAAAAACGGCAAATAAAAAAAATTTTGAGCTTACGTTTCTTTCGCGGTAATGGCTCGATTGTTTCGAATATGGTTATTCGAATTCTTTGATGTCGCATTTTTAATGTTCTGGGGAGAATATTCAAAATTGGCTTACACAGCCGCAATTGGCGATTCGTGCCGGACGATCTCAGGAAGAATAAAACTAACACGCAGCTACTGAACGACTGAGACAGGGAACGTAATCTACATCGTCAAATGAGAAGTGCCGTAAGTGTGCAATTACATCGCGGCATTGCCTAAACCGAGCTGTCATGTGTTACTATTGGGCCCATTAATGCGGGTTGCCAATATTATATTGCGTCAAAGTCTAATTCGGAGACACCAGGATTGTTTTGTGGAGGACAATACCTAAATACCTTCGTTTGCTCATTTACCAGAACGCGCGCTTTACTTTACAGGTACAGAGTCAAGAGGTCTCCACGAATATCGACAAATACATTTCGGCATCTAAGGGAATTTCGTCTCTTTAGCCTACATTGTATTTCTGTAGTCCAACGATTCTCACCCATTTTGTCTTGTTGGCGCCAGTGAATGAAGAACAAAAATTTCTCCAAATTTAAAAAGTAAAAATTTCACTACTAATAATTTAAAAATATTCTTAAAACTTGCAAAGAAATTTGGAAAAGAAACATCACTGTTTTTGTTTTTAGGAGTAGGGTGGGAGTGTCATTGATAAAATTAGAGCGAGAGAAAGTTTTTCTTACAAAACCTTTCATTATTGAATCATGCATTTTACTGGAGTTTCTGAGCTGCATATGGGAGGGCGTTAGCTTTGCCCTTCCATATGAAACTCAGGCACTTTCATATGACTTGTGTTTTTATGTCAGGGCATATGGGAGGGCGATACAATTTTTTTTTATTTTTTTTTATTTTAAGTGTAAATTTGTATATGTGCCTATACTTTAGGGCAAAGCAAAAACAAATGTGCTACAAGT